AGAATCCGCGCCCCCCCCAATCAGGCGAAGGACCGTCTGGTGAAGCACCCAGCTGTTTTCTTCCACCTGGTCCAACCAAACAACAAACAACCAAACAACCAAAAAAACAGAACGCGCCGCGCCCGCAAGACCCGCCGTTGTTAGATTATGTTGCTGTTAATGTTGTCTCTACATTTGAACCGTTCGTCCCGTTCTCTCTACCCAGTACCTTCAGTCGTCCGTACTGATCTAGGTTGTGCACCGATTTATTATGGAAATTGGAAACATGCGCGAACGGCATCGGCATGTCTGTGAGGAGGGGGGTGATTTCTTGGCAGAAAGGTGCGAGGGGACAGGGGACAGGGGACCATCATCCATCATCTTTGAGCGAAACACGCGAAAGGAGGGAGTGGAGATGGCGAGGAGAGCCGTTCAAATGGAGATCAAGACGTAGTTCTACGTGTTGCGGGTCGGTGCAACGCAGACAGCAGCACAGCAGTAGACCATACATGTATGCAAATCCAAGATCGCTGCTGGGGTGAACGACACCTACGAGACCAGACGAGACAACATATGTAGACTACATGATGCTGCTGTTCAACGAATATTATATCGTGCTTTCAAAAAAAGAAATAAAGTGTACATGGGTGGACGTACTGCTGTATGCATACATGGATGGGTGGATGGCGTTGTGCGCAGGAATATGCGTATGCTACGATCATGGTTGGGTGTCAAGACGCGCACTGCTGCTGCGTTACTTTGTGCTCTTCGAAAGCAAAGTGGGCGACAGAGACTTAACAGCAGTATGAGGCAGCGCTTTAATATCTTGATTCAATACAATGTAGAGGGCCGACGCTCCCTGTGATGTGGTACCACCGCTGTTGTTGGTGTTCTCAAAAACTGGGTTCTAACAAAGTCATGCAAATCGCCCCGCGCAATTGTTTACACCTCACCCCGCCCCCCAGCTATGTTGCAGAGACGAAGATGAACAGACTGCCTGTGGCTGTTCCGAGAACATCTGTGGACCGTGGGGGTAGACTTTTTATTGATCAGTTGACATTGAGCGGGATTATTTATCGGCAAGGCCTAAACGACAAAACGGTGACACAGTCGCGACGACACCGCAGGTGCAGGCAGTGTGGGCACACAGCAGTCCGAACTCAAAAGTGTGCACATCTCCCGGTTTACGAAACAGCACAAGCGCTGGTGCATGCATCGCGAACAGAATGAGAGCTGTTTATCTGGAAATAGGCATAAACTGATAGAGCTTGTACAGCCCCCCTGCTGGCTGGCTCGCGAAGTTACGAAGTTACAACGCAGTTCGATGTGTGGTTGATTACTGTACGAGCACGACACGCATATATGTGCACCTGTATCCGCGGGAGGTCCTTTACCACCTGCTCCAGCGTAGGAGCCGCGCGCCCGCCCCCACCGCCGCCGTTCGTACCAACAGCGCCTCCTGGCCCCACCGCTCCTGGCGGTAACGGTAACCCTACCGCCAGGGACTCCCCCCTCTCGATGGCCGCCATGAAGTTCAAAACTTCCCGCGCCACGCGCTCGCTCGCCTGTGCTCGCCTCGCCGCAGGCGGTGTCTCAGGAGCGGCCATGGGACGCCGTGGAGGAGGTGTTGTTGTTGCCGCCGTCGCCGGTGCCACGACAGCAGCAGCGGGGTCGACGGACGGGCCTGTTGGTTGATGATCTGGCGAGGTCGTGGGCTGATCGTGGAAATAGAAGTGGTGGATTGGCATGGATCCAGGAAAGGAAGGGCAGGGGGGGATGTCAGAAAAAAATCGAGGCGGGGACAAAGTGCGGGGTCAGAAGAAGCGCAACAAGGGCTTTTTGTGGTGTGCGATAGCTGAGGTCGAGATCTTGGGCTACTGCTGCTGCAGCTGTGACTTTAACCCAATGTCAATGCCACTGCGTACGGCTCCCGGCAGGGAACACATGGGACGGAGAGACACAGCCGCCCGGAAGGAAATCATGCGCAAGAAATTTTTTCGGGTGCAACAAATTGTTGATATCCAAAAGCTGCTGTTGTTTACTCGGCTGCTGGTATGCATATGTGGCGCGTTATCAGAGATGTTACACACACCCAGGAGGCAGCAAGCTTGCAGCGCAGCAAGAACACGTCTCTCACACACATCCCTTCCGCGGTAGGTCGAATGCACGGGCGGTGCCGCTGCTCTCTCTGCTCTCACCTCGCGCTCCTCCGAGACAGCAGACGGTCGAACAACACATTTTTCGCTACAGATGGGGCAAGTTGGAGGGGGCCGGGTGCCGCTGCAGCCACTGCCGCCGGTCGAAGGCTCAGGCTCACAGACATCTTGGCAAGCGGGGCAGTAGACACGGTCCTCCTTCGCCGGCGCCAAGCGCGTCGCGCTGAACGCGAGGCTGTCGAACTCCATAACGATCGTGGAGCTTCTCTAGAAAAATGGTAGGCTTGTCGATTTATATTTTTCTATTTTTGACGCCAGGATTTGGCGCGAAGGCACTTTTTTTTTTCTCCCATCATTGGACAACAGGGGGCAAACGGTGTACCTATGTACATGTACCGTCTTGTTTGCTCAGTTAGAGGCCCCCCCGTGAGAGCTGCAGAGCTGGATCCTGTGTGTGTAGCGTTGTGTGTGGCACACACATGAGCACATGATTTATGTACGCATCTGCCATACCAGATCAGATCCAAGCAAAGGGGGAGTGAACAGTGGCAAATTTGTCTCCGGAGCCGAACGGGTGAGAGCAATCCGAGGACCTAGCGATGTCTGCATTGGCTTCTGGCGATGTCTGCGGAGGGAGAAGAGAGAGAGAGAATATAGTCTAGACTAGCCCCAAAAAACAACCATGATGGGACGGAAGGTAAAAATGAAAAATGGTTGATGGCAACAAGCGGCGCGCCTGGCGCCCCAGCCAGGCTGCGCAAAGACAAGAACGACACACATGTCGCGAAGGGAAGCTTGCTAGGGGGTTGACCTAAGGATGCCCACACCATCTGCCACTGCAAGATCTTGGGTCAACCCCCACAACGAAGTACATCACACACAAGAAGGCGGAGTTCTGCACGCACGACCGGTACGATTGACAACGGGCAACCGAAGAGCGGCCTGAATCCACCGAGACCTGAAAGCAGGCCAGCAAGAAGGTACAAGACAGGGCAGGGGGCGCAGTGACGTGGCTCTGCAACCGAAACTGCTGTTTTGAAGTCTAATACTATAAACTGTTGGCGTCTACATAGATAGGTACACAGCAGCAGCAGTCGACTTCAATCAATGTCTTGTTGGGTTCCTACAAACTTCAAGTGAACTAGACATGGAAAAAGCCACCGCACTCGACAACACACACAAAATCTACGTAAGAACTTGGGTAACGCTTGGAACCCCTACACCACAAACGAACGTTCCACAGCAGTATTGTCGGCCATTCGTCGCATGACCCCAGACACGTAAGACCTGATCCGGTTTTTGTATGTGCATATACATGTGCCTGTGGTATGCTCCTCGGTCTGCCGTAACGGGGCGTCCTCATTCAGTAAGGACGACGAGCAAGCGAGTCAGCAAACGGTCTCTCTCTCGTCCGACTGCTGTCGACATTCGACATTCCGACTCTATCCATCGCAGACACGCCTGCAAATCACCATCGAACGTATAGCTCTGACTTCGTCCATCGTTAGAATGTATTGCCGGACTCCATCCATCCATCGTAAGAATATGAGAAGACTTCTTTGCTTGGATGCTTCGGTAGGATATAGTCTAGACTACGTAGTTTCGAATTCAGGCTTGATGCGCCTAAGAGATGGATGCGAGTAGACTCCTTGCAAGGTAGATGCCAGGGGAGAGGAACGTTTTTGCCCTTTAGACTACAGACAAAAATATGCCTTCGCGACATGCACCACACGTTTAAATCATCACTTGCTGCTGCTGCAGCTGAAGAGTGCCGTCTTCTTGGTGAAAACGCTGGCATCCTTTGTCACGTCCGTAGGGTGATAGCGCGCGATGCTACCTAATAAACGAGCGCGCAAACAACCAGAGAATCAGGGATGCACGTGAGTGCAGAACGTGCGGTGTTGAAGCATATCTATGTAGACAGCCGCAAGTTCCTGATAGGTTGCAAGCTCACTGCATCATCATCGATCACGTGAACATTGCAGGGAAGCACGCAGACAAGAAGCCATGGTTTTATGTCACTGCATCATAACGGAATTGCTTGATTATTTTTTGGTCGGGTCCTCCAAGTTGCTCGATTAATTCATGACGGTCCTGTGCAATGCTTCCAACCGCTGTGGTTCTCCCCGTGTCATTCCACTTTGTTGCGCCCAAACTGACGTTCTTGTGCGTGATGTTTCCTGAGGTCGGCTGGACCAGAGCGGGGATGAGAGGCGAAGTATGTTGCTGGCTAGCATCAACTCGACCGAGTAGTCGGTCACTCTTGACCCACAATTCTATGCACAAGATACTACACAGGGAGATTTTCTCCTTTCCTACTTGCATAGCAAAACGAGAGCCACGTGACCAACGGCACATACGTATCGATTGGCGCTCATCCCTGTGAGATTGGCCCAGGTACTCCGCGGGGGGGTGGTTGCTTCGGTGGGAACTACCTGAAAGGCCGTGGGGTTGCCAGATTTTTTTTTTTAGCATGGACAAGCATGGACTACGTTAGTGCTGTTGCTGGGGAGTGAAAAGAGTCTAAAATGGATATTGCTCAAGGGTTAAAAACAATTATCGCATCACGTGTCCGCGTCTGTTGGCGCACTCTTGTGTAACTGTAGATTGTCGCAAACTGAGCTTCTTTGGAGAACTTCTTAGGTTCTCGGTCTGACCTTGTGTGTGGGAGTCAACGCTGGGCAAAGCATGGGAAACCGTTTGTCTAGGAGAAGACCGGTTATCCGATCTCTACCTTCCTGCCTATCACAGCGAGAGTCCGTTGCTCTTGTAAACGAATCTCTTCTTCCGGTGGTGGTGGTGGTGTTCGCGTTTTGAAACGGTCGTGACACAGAACCAATTGCAACTGTGCAAATTGTAGTCTTTCTTCCGTGTTGTTACAGTAGTCCGGATAGACGGACTCCATTCTCTGCCTCGCTGCCTGGGCATGTCACTGACTGCTCTTGTCGTAGATCTGGTACGGCGTGTGCAAATCTCTCGCTCAATCTATGCTGTCTCGTGGTAAAAACGAAGGGGCGCCGGGGACAGGGGAGAGGCCCGTGAGCGGGGCCCCATCTCTCACAGCGCGTTGCAGGGGGACCCGTACTCGTGTCTCTCTCAAATCCTGCTGCCGTCGCGTAGCAGTCTGTCTCACGGGGTCTAAGAATCAACCAACCTCAATTTTGAGAATTGAGATCTCTCACACAACAAAAACTGCTCTTGCAGACTCAGGCGAGAGGAAGAAACGTAATCCACAGCAGCCACAGGAAGCATATCCTCCCCCGTGCATACAGGAGCATCACAAAACCTCCAAGCGCCTCAACATTCCCTGATGTGCAGCTGTTCGGCCCCTCAAGACCGGTATGGTGTACCGTCCCTATGTGCTTCTTCTTTATGTAGACCACACCTGGTGGGCTACCGATATCGCTGGATCTCTCCTCTCGTTCTTTTCACTCGTTCCGGCTTGTACCGTTGTCCACCCCTCGTAGTCTCCCTTCGGGACAGTCGAAAAAGCGACATGCTTACGTTCCCCCCAAGCCGTGCAACACCGACTCTTTCTTATTTCTTTTGATGTTTCAGCCGCGCCCTGCCCGAAATAAGTTCTGCGAGCTGCTCCGGATCGTCCGGTGCTCTCTTGATGTCGTCCGACAGAAACCCCACGAGGTAGAGCCACTTGCACAAGGTCGATCGTCTCAAGTACAGCGGCTCGGGAGGGACCCCGTTGTCGGGATCACCTTGGTGCAACTGCGCCAGCCAGCAAAAGCAAGCAGGAGAAATGCGGTGCGTTCGCGAGAACGAGCACGCGAACAAACAGCGCGGGAGACGAAATAGCCGATGAGCGAAAGCGAGGAAAGTGAACAGAGGCAGAGCATTCAACAGTGGACGGATGACAAGCACACACAAGCCACGCAGATGAAAAAGGTCGGGGCGGGTAGACTACCCAACCATTACGATTGCTCTATAAGACACGCTCCTGCATGTATTCCTTCCTTCGTACCACCAGCTTTGACTCGCCTCGAGGCAAATTCACAGGAAATTTGTTTTCCTTGCAAACATTCACAAATAACGCCAGAGATACAACACTTGCAGTCGACACTGCCATACGTCTGTTCTCCGATCAAGGAAATCGTACCCCGCCTCACGCCCCTGACGCAAACAGTCCCCACAACACCCTCTGTAAAACCGCGAAGGATCGCGGCACGCTGTCCCAAAACACACACGTGTGGCACGCAGCCGAGAGAGGGAGGGCCACCACGAACAGCTGGTAATACCTCTGCTGTGGTTTTGGTAATCAAACTAACTCTACTGTTGCACACAGCGGAATGGCAACCGAACTCATCCAGGAGCTCTCACCCTTTTCGCTTCGCCTCCGTACACGGTCTCCACGATCACCTCCAGTCCATCGAGCAGATCCGGATCGTCCGGAAAGTCTGCTTGCAAGGCCTCCACCAAGCCCTCCGCCGAGCTCAAGTCCGGAGGCGTTGCTCCAGGAAACGCGGCCGACCACCCCTGGCGCACCCCCGGCCGGCTACCCTCCTCCTCCTCCTCGCCCTCGACGGGGTAGCCCTGGTACACGGCCATGATCGTGTTCGCCTGCTCCCAGTCGGTGTTGCCCTCCATCAAGTCCAGCAGGAAGCGGTACCGGGCGAAGTCGGACGTTAGGTCCGCCTGCATCTGTTCCACCTTGTCCGAGGTGAGACGGAACGCGTCGCTGCTGTCCTCGGCCGCGGGCGGTATTTTCGGTCCAGTGGCACCGGTCGTCACCGTTCCCCCGTGTGGTAGGGACAAAAACGAGACAAAACCACAGCCAAGAGATACAAACGGGTAAAAATCAGATTGCCGGGACAAAGTGGTTTAGTGGAAAACAGGTGGTCGGCGGCTAGCCACGACTTCATCTGCGAGGTGGATGATCCATCGAAATAGTCAAGCAATGAGATTGCCAGCAGATGCCTTGGTCGTTCTTTGGTGGCATAGGCATCAGGCACAGAAACGTTCCTCAAGCCTACCGAATATGACACAAGATAACACACCCCCTGGACCGATTTTCAAAGCTCGAATACTCCACGACGAAGAGGATGCATAAACGAAATGATACGATGCATTTTCGAAAAGCTCTCGACGAGACGGTTTCAACGCCGCCGTTTTCGGCGCTGTGACTGTTCCTGCAGTTGAGAAATCGAGATTCGAAAATCGGTCAAGGGTGTGTGTTATCTTGTGTCATATACGGTATATAGGCTTTTCACGTGCCGCCGACCAAAGTGCCCTTGTTCGGCGTGTCTGTCGGTCCAATGCAGCTGTGGACCGCCAACATATTCGCGACGCAATTCCCGACAGCAGTGTTGCACGACCGGCCAATGAAACCAAACCACAACACACCCAGCGGAGGGCAGCGTCTTGGGGGCCTTGGCGCTGCAGACGCTCGTCTCCGCTCCCATCTTCTCCATCAAGAAGTCCGACACAAGGTTGGCGATGTCCCACGCCCCAACGAACGCGTCCCCCATGTCGAACTGCTCCATCGCTGACCCCATGTCTAGCACCAGGGTGGTCATGTCAGTGTCGCCCTGCCATTCAGTGATAGCCGCCGCGTGGGGGAGAAACGTGTCGATGACGACGGACAATACCAGAGAGAGAGAGGGAGAAACTATAGTCAAGCAAGAGATTGCACAACACTGATCTTCCCATTCGTCAACGGTTAGCATTTCGATGGGCTGGTCGGCGCACGACTAAAAGGGGTGTCGGGGCAAGGACGCAGTTTACGCTTCCACGTGCAGTTATTTCGCCTTGTGCCTCGAGCGAGGCTCGCTGAAATGTCGTGAGATCAAGAAAGCGGTCGCACGAGCTTGCTGCAAGGCCATTCGACGACACTTGGGACAAGGCATTCGTGTCTCGGGGTAGTGTGTTTGGTCTCGCTGCCATGAAAATGAACGACAACCGCATATCGCTCGAAAAGGTGAGGTGTGCTTGAACTGCCTCCTATCGGCCAATTGGAGACCCCGGTCAACAAGAGATTTATCTCAAACACGCCCGGTTTACCCACCTCGTACGGCAGGGAAAAAAAAATGAAAGACTCAAACCAGGCCCCGAAAGTCGCAAAAAAACGGTGGCGCGACGAGCACAACTGATCGACGACAACACAAGCACTGCCGGACACAACTACTACGACAACAACAACATCGACAACGGCACCCTATAACCCAACCCGTTTATCTCCCAAGCCGTCGCATTCCGTACTGCACCAGCGGCTGGTCGAAAGACCTACCGCAAGGTTACCTTATCGAAAGCGGCGAGGTACAGCCTGGCCACCTCTTCCCCAATGTCCTTGTGGCAGTCCTGCTCCATCCACTCGTCATTCAGATGCTCTCGGATGGACTCGGACAAAAATGCAGCGTATTCATCGGCCTTCTCCGCGGGCGGGAGCATGACTCCCCCATCGACCGATTGCTGTACGGAGAACTTTTGTGGGCGGAGCGGAGGCGGGGGGAGAAACGAGGGGCGGACAACGGAGTCAAGAACAACAAGCGCGGCGTGAAACAAATGACACCAAGGAGGAAAGAAGCGGGATATGTTTGCAATTCGAACGAAGCGGATCATGCGTGGACAAGAGGCAGCAGGGGAGCGTGGTTTCCCGGTTAACGCTGGAAGGGCGCCAACTAACACTGTATCGTGGAGTGGTTGTCTACGGCCGGTAAAAGGTGAAACGCGTCCGTGACATATTCGAGGCTCTGAATGCTGTACGTGGTCTGCACGAGGTTGATACAAATCACGGCCGCAAGTCGCTGCAAGAGGTTTATTCTTGTTGTAAAGATCGCATGCGAGAGACGCAAGTATCCGGAAAACTTCTTGAACAATGCCGAAATTGTAAACTTGTGATGTGCGCTCTTCTCACCAAAGACCCAACCGCTGACACGCCCCTGCCCGCGTTGCGATCGTAGCAGCCCCACGACGACGAAGCGGTGCCATCAACAGCGCGTGGCCTTCTCCGCGTGGCTTGCAGCGGCAACGCACGCTGGGCAGCAGGCGAGGGTGAAGAGCGAGACGCCGAGTGTCGACCCATCTCCGTAGCCTCTCTTGCTGCACACGGCAGTGGGTGGTGCACGAAGCCCTTCATAGGGCGGCACAGCAGGTTGGACAATAGGATTTTAAGCTATTTGTTGATGGTAATTATCCCGTTGATAGAGTAACCATCGCAGCTCTCCCGACATTCCGATCTTTGAAGCTATTCACGCTTTGGAAAGCCCGATTCGTGTGACTGAGCTACTGCTTTTTAAGACTCGGATCGCGTCCACTTTTCATATATTCACAAGGGCGCCAGTGTCGGTGGGAAATGCGTCCAAGCGCAGCAGGGCATGACCTGTCTGCGCAGAAAAAATGAACGGTACGGTGGGAAGGGTTGCCTGCGTCACGAACAGAACCGTACCATATCTCCTGGCCGCAGAAAAAAAGCGAACCAGGTCAAGCACAGCGGGGACAGCACCGGTTCTCTGGTAAGTCGCCAACAAGCGGCGTAACCTGTGACTGACATGATACAGCGGTACGATCCTTGGCCACTGGACACCAGACTTTATCTTCAATCTCCACCACAAACAGAGCGCTTAAGGCTCACCATCGAAAACTGCCTCATGAAACTGCCACGTCGGAGAGATGGAGTGAGACACATCCCCAGTTTCCTAGCATGACACGCTGTCGTCGAAATAACGTCTGACTGCTGTGACGACTCTCCACACGAGCCGTGCGTCAACTGCACTGCAACATACTTTCGTTCACAAAACAGCAGACGGCTTGGTCAAAACTTACCTAAACTAGCAGGCCATCCAGACATTCATCTTTTTGTCCACGAGCAACATAGGAACGAGCTACTGGAGATGCTGTGGACCAGGAGTCTGATGTTGGTACTGCACCTAGCGAGAGGGAGAACACCGCACAGAAAGCGTCCACTAAAGCAGAGTACACGACCACATGTGAGGTTACTCATGTAGCTACAGATTCAGAACGAGGGTTCACCTTCGCTCCCACCACAAGGGCAAGACCTGTGACTGTCCATAACCGCCTTGCGTCCAGCGCCATGACCTCAGCGTGGACCATGGTGCAGGGAGAGACAAGACTGGCGAGATACGAGAGAGACGTGGCCAGGGGGCCTACAGATGGTACCGCTCTACTTTCCCGATCCCCGCTCCAGCGATGTCGGGTCTGCGGTATGGAAACCCACGAAATGGCGATTGTCGATTTTCGAGTGGCTGGTAGCACAGAGACCCTCTCTCCCTCCTCCCTTTTACTCCCTGGTTGCCTCAGCCAACTGGAACCATGCCGAAGGTCGGCATCCACCGGAACTGTGAGTTGTTTGGCGTAAACGTTAGATTTAGTGGCCTGTGTGCCTTTTACGGCGACGAAACGACCCTTTTGAAAGGCACGTGTGCGGGTGCTCGTTTCTTGGCCAGAGAGCAAGGAGAGAGAAGACAGAGAGGACACCTGGGAAACTCTTGCCGTCCCATTCAATATTTTGCTTTGTGTACCGTGCATGGGGCAGACGAGCGTTGCTAGCGTGAAGCTAGTTCAGTTGTCGAGGTAGACCGTGAGCAGGGCTGCAAGTACGAAGTGGGTTGTGGAAGGTGTTGTCGGCCGCATCTCTCTGCCCTTTCCAGAGGACAGCAGGCTGCAACCATCTCTTCGCACTTCGCACCATGAGAGACACCGCGTGTGCGTTGAAAAAAGTGCATTCGCGGTATGTACACTGGCTGGAAGCTTCGTGTGCAGCACATGCCGCAGCTTCACTCCAACAGCTTCGTCGCAAACTGCCTTCGTATTAGCATTGGCGTTTGTAATGAGTACGAAGATGGACACGCTGTTTGGGCGCTCTCCTCCGCTCCTCTACTCCTGTAATAACCAGTACCATGGTATGTAGCAGAGAAGTCTTTGTCCTCAGCAGTCAACAAACACATCTTCTACCGCGAGCGGGAGATCGTTCATGTCATGTCGGCAGTCACAGACCGGCCGGAGGCATGGGCCCGGCGGCAGTGTGCCGATCGACAGCCGCAGCAATTGTTGTCGTTAGCCTGTGGATCCCTCCACTCTGCCATGCACTAAAAGTGTTCCGCACCGCAAATGAACACAACCCGGAGAGATCAGCAGACTACATATTGCAACGCTGACCGCGACAAGTGTCTTTGAGCAAGAGTTTCAGCAGTCCACTGGACTGGTTGGTGTAGATTGTCCAGAGTGAACGAGAGGGGTGTGGGTGTAGAGGTAGCCTGGGCGCACCTGTCACATGTTGTGTCAAATCTGCACGATTGGCTAGTGGGGCGCAGTTTCGGCAGTGCTGATATTGACGCTAGACGCTGCGGTGTGATCCGGAGGAAGCTGGTGGAATTGCTGCTCGCCCATGAACCGCATGTGTATAGTATGCACATGACCAAAGATCTAAGGTCCTGACCTAGGGAGCCTGCATCTCGCGGGCGCTCGTTGAAGTCGAAAGGCCACAAGTGCGAAGTCGCCTGGGTTTCTGACGAAACACTGTGGACTTTAGACAACTGCTGGATATCATGAGCATGAGCGGTCGTGCAGGTCAACGACCGCACTACTCACGACCTCGTGTTCACCAACTGCTGGTAAGAATTACACCCCTCTGACGCTTGGTCACTGATGCGGCTGTTCCCCCAATTCCCCCCTTCCGGCATCTCGTGTGGTGCGCCTTGTGTCGCTGTCCTTACTTTATCGTGAGCAGACCGGAAGACCTTCAAGACCCCCAGGCGGCCGTACGAGAAGGAACGCCTCGACTCGGAGCTCAAGCTCTGCGGCGAGTACGGCCTCCGATGCAAGCGCGAGATCTGGCGCGTCCAGTTCGCGTTGGCCAAGATCCGTAAGGTGTGTTTCAAGGGCCGGAGCACGCGTCCCGTAATGAGACTGGAGGAGTGACGAGTACATATCGCGATTGGACCAAGACCGATTGGTTTTCCTGGTGTGCTCAACGGGAGTGTAACCTGTGTGTGGCAAGACAAAGTGCCCGTGGTTTTTGCGCTTCACGCTGGGCAGTTCTGGTGCACTGATGCAATATTGACCGGTGTCTCTGAATGTTTTTGTAGTGCTATTTGGCGCCTAGCAACAGAGGTGGACGGCTGCTGGTGGCACAGTCGGAATAACTCCCTAGCGTGTGGCACACGGTGGTCAGTACGAGGAGTGTGGCGGACTGACTGTAGGATGGGTTGCGTTGGGTCGCCTAGGACCACAGGGTTGCGAGTCGTCGTTCTCTTGACACAAGGGACATGTACACCCTTAAGAGTGCCTAGAACCCTGAGTTTTGCTGGGAGGCGGCAGCCCATGCGTTGCTTTGCGGGTGCAGGAGAAGGGTGCTGAGCTGGTTTCGCTTGCATTTCCCGTCCGTTGTTGAGAACAGCGTCGTGGTCAGTTGGCCGTATGAAACCTTGAATTCTGTTAAGCCTCGTGCGTAAGGTCCAGCCCACACGAACATGGATTTTCAGATCTCATTTGAAGGGGTCAGTGTAGAAACAATTTTCGCAACAATGGGTGAATCGTAGTAACGCGAGTGCCCTACCTCCTGTCAAGCGTCAATACTTTACGCGAGCATACGAGAAGGTATAAGACTTGACGGTATGGTCTTACCAACCGAAGGCCCAGGTGGCATGCCACCAAGCGTCCCGTTTGTCTTCCTCACATGCTTTTTAGAACTATGCTGTTGCTCGTGAACGGTTCCACGAGCGCGTGGACAACCAAGGCAAAGCCCCACGCCGCCAGCATTGATGTAATTTCAGCGCGTTTGTTTCCTCTCGTGACAAAGAAAGCGAGTTCAACTCCAAGCGAAAATGCTGGACATCCCACCTCGCAAGATTTCGTCACCCTTCTTTCAGATCTTGTCAGGCGGGCAGTGATTGTGTTGGCGAACAATACTAAGTGATGCCGCCCTTATCTCCTCTCTCGTCATGGCGTGGTTGGGTGGCGTAACATATTGCCGATGCTCTTGCCGCCGCTGCTGTAGGCCGCGCGCCAGCTGCTGACGCTCGACACCAAGGACCCCAAGCGCCTGTTTGAGGGCCCCGCCCTGCTGCGCCGCATGTCCCGGTTCGGTCTCCTCGGCGAGGACGAGAGGGAACTCGACTTCGTGCTTCAGCTCACCACCGAGAAGATGCTCGAGAGGAGGCTTCAGACCAAGGTGTGTCGTCGCTGTATCGTGCTTGTTTTTTTCTGCCAGTTTGGGTCGATCTGTTCTGTAGTCGACGAAATGTTGCTGATACGCATGTTCTGTGACTCACAGGTATTGCCTGGGTTGCTCGCTACGCCGTCTGGCACTTGGATGTCCTTGGAATAGCGATGCGCAAGTGACACCTCGTTGCCCGATTTTTCGGTCGCTCCCCACAATTCCTCAGGTATTCAAGCAGGGTCTGGCCAAGTCTATCCACCACGCCCGTGTGCTGATCAAGCACCGCCACATCCGGTGAGTCCCATATGGTCAAGTTGTCACTGGACAGAAATATTTATTCAGTGTACGTTCATCCGGTGGTTGTCCCGTCGTGCGGCGTCCGGTGCTGCGCCTCTCCCAGTTGAATCAAATAAGCTTCCGAACACCAGCATCTTGTCTCTGCTCGAGTCAACCCCCTTGTTTGGTCTTGTGAGAAGTCGGCGGTTCCTCGAGGTGTTTGGTCGTTAATGTGTTACAAGCGTGTAGAAATGGGGAGAACGTTGCTGAGATGTGGGGTGGCATGTGTGCATTTGTCACACGACTTGCTGTACTTCTTGAGAGGGTGCATAGCCGAGCCGTTGATATCATATGCAGCCGCTGCCGCGATATGGAATGCCCCATTGTCATGCGCAACTCTTGTCATTGCTACCCCTTCCCTTGCGATGATACTTGTGCCCAACAGCGTGGGCAAGCAGCTCGTGAACGTGCCCCAGTTCATGGTCCGCATGGACTCGGAGAAGCACATCGACTTCTCGATCACCTCGCCGTACGGCCAGGGACGGCCCGGACGTGTCGCCCGCAAGCGCGCGGCCAGCAAGGCCGCTGCGGGCGGCGACGACGGCGAGGAGTCGGACTGAAGAGGCACGCGGCTTTTTTGGTCGCACGCCTACAAGTTAGGCACACCACGGCAGTAGTTGGGAGTCCCAGGCGCGAATGGGCTGCAGCTGACCTTCCACCTCGTCTCGTTCCGGCCGTGACGGAACGTCCGTGGCAGTGCTAGGCGCTGAAGCGGTCTGGGTGGGGCTTTTAGCTTTCCGGTGGAGTAGAAAGTCGGTGACGTGGGCTATTAGCCAGTAGCTGCTGCATTGCGTCGGCGTTTGTTCGATCAGAGGCTGTTGTGGTTGTTGTCTTAGCTTGTTGTGCAGCGATCGGGGGCCACCATCGGTGTGACCTTGTCCCCCCCGGCTAGTTTGTGTCTTTTCGGGTGTGGACGGAGTCGCGTCAACAAAAGGGAATACAGAGGGCCCTGCGCTAAATATTGAGCGGTAAAAATTACGGGAGGTGTTGGCGTTTTCCGCCTCGCGGGAAGATGGTTCCCTGCAGAGGGTCGTTCATCCACGCATCGCCTTGGTGGATGCAAGCTGTGTATGTGCAGTGTTAACGTGCCCATTGCTTCTTCCGGATCCTGTTGATGGATGCGTTTCACTTTGCAGCTTTCAACTGTGATGGCGTTACTGCGATGATGAGCAAACATGGCTCGAGACGGTCCACTCGCCACGGAAACATAAAGAAAACACGCATTCGTTGAGATCATTTTCGCCGCTTACAGGCAACAGCTCCCACTCTCTCGCTCTCGCCTATGCCTGACGCTTAGATGTAACCCTTTGCTCTCGCTCGTTCTCCAAGGTGTTCATCTTCGGCTGAACATCACGTCGGTTAGACGTGTCAAAGAGCGCCACGTGGGTCGAGGAACGAACATTCTAAAGGTCCATGGATCAGACCCACGAGAGTAATACGGCCACATGTTCCCATCAGTGAGTGCCAAAACACGCTTTATTGTCCCGAGCTTGAAATTAAACAACAAACACAACCCTCTCGCCATGGTGACCGTTGAGGACGCTGATAAGCTTGTTCTCGGTCTTGTACTAAAGCGCTTGGCAGAGACACGTTCCGTTGGTCTTGCGTACGGAAGAACGACAAGAAATATAAGATCTTCCGTTGGCTGAAAGGGGGCGTCTCAATTGGAATGTCCGCGGGGCATGTTTGGGGCGCCGTGATTGAACTACGAATTGCCGGCCGAATTGACCAGTGCCGCCGCGACAGCAAGCACGCCCACGCCACGACGATCTGCCGTACTACGCAGTTTCTGTGCGCTCGTCTCTCGGTAAGGTCGTCCTTCTGAAGACAAAGCTGTGTTGTGGCCTTTTGGGGGGCATCGGAGATTGGTAAGGGCCGACGCTGGGAGATTCAAAAGCAGAGCGAGAGGGGAGAAATGGGGGGCACTATCTCCACGCTGGTCTTCCAGCCCCCGCCGGCGACCTTTCTGCACAACAAGAAGCACTTCTGGTTGCAGACGCGGAATCAGCACCGTATTCCTGTGTTCCATGTCGAACGAAGGTGTGTACGGTGTGCCGAAGCTGGTTGGTTTGCTGCATTCCGGCCAAACCGGAATTTTACGTTCGTAGCGGCAAGATGATGGGCATGACACGCAGGGTCGGAATTCCCGCTGCGAAGGACAGAGGGAGGAGCGCGTGGACAACCCGCACAACGCTTGGCAGGTGCCATGCTGTTCTCTCTGTCTCCTCTGTCCCCTTACCTCTCGCCCGTCAGGTAATTGTGTTGGCGTGGAGTTTGTGTGGTATATAGCGTCTCGTTGGGTGTGTGCCTTTGGGGAATTAGGAAGGTGGACGTCGATCATGTTGCGAGCTCCTGTTGCTCCAGGACGCCGGGTCGTTGCGGTTCGGTGTTGACACACCAGAGTATGTTTCTTTCTGCTGCCCCGAGGCATGCGGTGGCCGTGTGGCCTACAGCACCCGCCTGCTCCGCTAGAGCTTTCTGGGCAGGATATGCACACTGTACCACGCCATTCGAACAAGACGCGTGGTGCCTGATGCTCCCGCCCTCTGGACAAGACAGCAAGGGTCGGTGTTTACTTCCGCTGTCGATCGGCAAGAGTTCGGAATTGTACTTTGGCAGCACCAGAGTACCGTGTAGGTCGTCGTTTCCACATCGACCAACTGCATCATAGTGCGCTGCCGCGCATTCCTTTTGCAGAAACGGAGGAGAAAAAGCAAATCACCCATTCATGAGCATATACGCGGCGTGAACGCTAGCATCAATTGTCTGGACGGACTCTGCTGCGTCGGCTCTAGCTTCAATTTGTGTGTAGTGCTGCCTGCGCCTGTACAAAGGCCAAAAGGAACATGGCCGGTGAAGCGATGAAGCCCGAGCTGGGTAACCAACCGTGTAGAAAGGGCGGTAACCCTGTATAAGACCGGTGAAGTCGCGTGACTCAGATGGAATACTCAAGCTGTGTCTGTCATACTCTGAGTGTCTGCCGGGTACCCAATGTTTGGCCGGCCAAATCCTCGGGCACTGCACCATGGTACACGTCTTCCCTGTAACAGGGGCGACTACTGGTGGATCATGCCAGACTTGTTGTTGTTGTTGTTTCTCACATTAGCTCTAAAGAAAAAGATTGGGAGCCCGTGGTCTCAAAACCCGGCATACACGACCCNCGATCAAAATAAAATAAAAAGAGAACGGGGAACGCTTCCCACACCCGCCTACAACGCCGGAGGGTTCCGTGCCGGGTTCCCGCCGACCAGGCATCCCCCGCCCTGCACCACACCCCAGGGGGTGCAGCAAGACGGGGAGCAAAAAACAAGCACATATATAT